GAGGTAGGACAAAAGATTGCTACAGTCCTATTATTTTATGGTTATTATAAGTGTACCAGGAATCTAAAAGAAACTTGTTTGTATAATGGCACCTAGTACAAAGTATGTAATCCAGGAAGTGACCAGCCTAATATGTGCTATGACCCCTCTGAACTTCCCATGATCACAGTTTTCAAAATAAAATTAAGTACTCGTCCTTTTCTAAGTGACACAAGTAAAGTAATAGCTAGAACAGAAAAAAGAGGGGTCCCCAAAAATGTAACCTTAAAATTTGATGTCTGTGCCACTATGAATAATAAGCAGCATGGGATGGGATGCGGTTCTCTAGATTTGGAAAAAAGTTACACAGCAGAAAATAAGGATATCTGTCAAGAATCATATTTATGTGAGATGTGTCAATACTGATCTTGTATCATTTGGGCTACTTAAAAATAAATAAATAAATAAATGAATAAATAAATTTTAAAAATCTTATTTGGCTCCAAAAAAAAAAAAAAGTCAGCCTCCTTCACGAGTGGGAGCTACAACCCTTTAGAATTGATAATGACAAACCCCTCGGACCCAAATTGGAATACAAAAAGTAGGTAACATTAGACATTGATGAAAAAGGACTAGATCCTAGCATAAGCATCCTAGTAAAAGGCGAGGTTCAAAGACACTCTCAAGAACCAATATTTCAGACTTTCTATGATGAACTAAATATGCCAGTACCTGAGATTCCAGGGAAAAACTAAAGATTTGTTTTTGCAATTAGCCGAACATGTAGCCCAGTCTAAAAGTCACTTCATGTTATGTTTGTGGAGGAACTGTAACAGGAGATCAATGGCCATGGGAAGCCCAATAATTAGATCCTACAGACCCAATTCCTAATAAATTCCTGGCCCAAAAGAACCACCCTGACAATTTTTGGGTTCTAAAAGTCTCAATTATTAGACAGTATTGCATAGCTAGAGAAGGAAAAGGATTCACTCATCCTGTGGGGTGGCTTAGTTGTCTTAGGCAAAAGCTGTGTAATAGTACTGCAAAAACAGTCCCACCCAGAATTCCACCAGGATGAGACTGCCCCCACTGGGTTATACTGGATATGTAGACATAGAGCATATGCTAAGCTGCCTGACCAGTAGACAGGTGGTTGTGTTATTGGCACTATTAAACCATCTTTCTTCTTACCGCCCATAAAAACAGGTGAACTTCTGGGCTTCCCTGTCTATGCTTCCCACAGAAAACGAAGCAAAGCCATAGGTAATTAAAAACATGATAAATGACCTCCTAAAAAATTATACAATACTATAGACCTGCCACTTAGACACAAGATGGCTCATGGGAATACTGGACCCCCATTTACAGGCTCAACTGAATCATACGGTTGCAAGCTGTTTTAAAAATTATCACTAATAAAACCAGTCAAGCTTTGACTATTCTGGCCCAGCAAGAAACTCAGGTAAGAAATGCTATCTATCAAAATAGACTGGCTCTCGACTACTTGCTAGCAGCTGAAAAAGACGTCTATAAGAAATTTAACCTTACTAATTACTGTCTACACATAAATAATCAAAGGCAAGTAGTTAACGACATAGTCATATGTGCCCATACAAGTGTAGCACAAATTCGACCCTGAAGCCATGTTTAAAAATTAGTTGCTAGCACTAGGAGGATTTAAAACTCTGATAATAAAAGTTATAATAGTAATAAGAACCTGCTTATTGCTCCCTTGTTTGCTACCTGTACTTCTTCAAATGATAAAAAAGCTTCATCACTACCGTAGTTCACCAAAATGCTTCAGCACAAGTGTACTATATGAATCACTATCAATCTATTGCACAAAAAGACATAAGTAGCAAAAATAAGAGTGAGAACTGCCACTAATAAAAAGTGAGAGTCTCAAAAGGGGGGAAATGAGGAAAGAGAGAGACCCTCTCATATTGTTTTATATTCAGGACCTGTTTTAAGAAAAAAACAATGAAGTAAAACCAAAGACAGGCAGCCTGGCACCAGGCCCAGGTCTGCCTGGCCTAAACCCAGTAGTTAAAAATCAACTCATGACTTAGAAACCGATGTTCCTGACATTGTATAGAAGAACACTGTGAAACTCCCGGCCCTGTTCTGTTTCTCTGTGACCACTAGTGCATGCAGCCCCTGTCTCGTACCCCCTGCTTGCTCAAATCAATCATGACCCTTTCATGTGAAATTTTTAGTGTTGTGAGCCCTTAAAAGGGACAGAAATTGTGCACTCCAGGAGCTCGGATTTTAAGGCAGTAGCTTGCTGATGCTCCCAGCTGAATAAAGCCCTTCCTTCTACAACTTGGTGTCTGAGAGGTTTTGACTTGTCCTGCTACAGTGGCACATGCCTGTAATCTCAACTACTTGGGAGGCTGAAACATGAGAAAAACTTGAACTCAGGAGCTGAAGGTTGCAGTGAGCCAAGGTCACACTACTACCCTCCAGCCCGGGTGACAGAGTGAGACTCTACCTCAAAATAATAAAGAGAAAAAAGAAAAAAGAAATTTCTTCCACCAGATACCCTAAATTATCTCTCTTGAGTTCAAAGTTCTGCAAATCTCTAGGGCAGGGACAAAATGCTGCCAGTCTCTTTGCTAAAACATAACAAGAGTTACCTTTGCTTCAGTTCCCAATGTCTCACACATGTCCATGTGAAGAGATCACCAACAGGCTTTGTGTGAGCAAAAAGGCTGTTTATTTCACCTGGTGCAGGCGGGCTGAGTCCAAAAAGAGAGTCAGCAAAGGGTGGTGGATTATCATTAGTTCTTATAGGTTTTGGGATAGGCAGTGGGGTTAGGAGCAATGTTTTGCAGGCAGGGGGTGGATCTCACAAAGTACATTCTCAAGGGTGGGGAGAATTACAAAGAACCTTCTTAAGGCTGGGGGAGATTACGAAGTACATTGATCATTTAGGGTGGGGCAGAAACAAATCACAATGGTGGAATGTCATCAGTTAAGACAATTTTCACTTCTTTTGTGGATCTTCAGTTGCTTCAGGCCATCTGGATGTATACATGCAGGTCACAGGGGATATGATGGCTTAGCATGGGCTCAGAGGCCTGACACCCAACAAGTTCTTCATCTTCATCTGAGACCACCTCAGCCTGGACTTTATTGTTTGTATCGCTATCAGGCTTTTGGTCAAGGCTATTCAACAAGTCTTTTGGAAGTTCCAAACTTTCCCACATTTTCCTGTCTTCATCTGAGCCCTCCAAACTGTTCCAACCTCTGCCTGTTCCCCAGTTCCAAAGTCGCTCCCACGTTTTGGGGTGTCTTTTCAGCAATGCCCCACTACCAGTACAAATTTACTGTATTTGTCTTTTTTCACGCTGCTGATAAAGACATGCAAGACTGGGCAATTTACAAAAGAAAGAGGTTTATTGGATTTACAGTTCCACATGGCTGGGGAGACCTTACAATCATGGCAGAAGGCAAGGAGAAGCAAGTCACATCTTATGTGGATGGCAGCAGGCAAAGAGAGAACTATGCAGAGAAACTCCCGTTTTTAACACCACCAGATCTCATGAGACCCATTCATTATCATGAGAACAGCACGGGAAAGACCCACCCCCATGATTCAATCATCTCCCACCAGGTCCCTTTCACAACATGTGGGAATTATGGGAGCTACAAGATGAGATCTGTGTGGGGACACAGAGCTAAATCCTATCACTGTACATCTAATAACATAACTTTAAAGTTATTTCTTTATGCCTTGCAGGGTCTAAACTTAAAACTCATTAGCTGATATAAAAAATGTTAGGGGGCCGGGCTTGGTGGCTCACGTCTATAATCCCAGTGCTTTGGGAGGCCAAGGCTGATGGATTGGTTGAGCCCAGGAGATCAAGACCAGCATGGGAAACATAGAGAGACCCCATCTTCACACAAAAATACAAAAATTAGCTGGGCATGGTGGTCTAAGCCTATAGTCCCAGCCATTTGGGAGGATGAGCTGGGAGGATTGCTTGAGCCCAGGAGGTTGAAACTGCAGTGAGCCGTGATGGCATCACTGCACTCCAGCCTGGGTGACAGAATGAGACCCTGTCTCAAAAAAAAAAAAAAGTTGGTTTGTAATAAGCTATAGGACTCTGACAGGTGCTCTCAAATACAGGTTTCTGATAACTTTGGAGATTGTGATATTGGAATAAAGGAAAATGTACAGGACTAATGAAGAGCTAAAATCTTCAGCAATATCAAGCATAACAAGAACTGAATGGACTGAGCTCAGAAAGCTGAAGCAACTTTTTTGACTTTTGCTTGGAATATTGCTGATCCTTGTTTTGTTTCTCAGAGTCAAAGAAACCTATTTTGAACTATTTAGGGCCTTTAATAATTGAGTAAGCTACACTCCTGTGAACAAAATTTGAAGCATATTTTTCTCTCTCTCTGCCTGACTTCTCCAGAATTTGGAAACTATCTGTCAGTATTCTTTTTTTTTTTTTTTTTTTTTTGAGACAGAGTCTCGCTCTGTTGCCAGGCTGGAGTATAGTGGCACAATCTCTGCTCAATGCAAGCCCTGCCTCCCGAATTCAAGCGATTCTCCTGCCTCAGCCTCCTGAGTAGCTGGGACTACAGGCGCTCACCACCATGCCCAGCTAACTTTTTGTATTTTAAGTAGAGATGGGTTTTCACCCTGTTGGCCAGGCTGATCTCGAACTCCTGACCTCAGGTGATCCGCCCACCTCAGCCTCCCAAAGTGCTAGGATTATAGGCGTGAGTTACCATGCCCAGCCAAGAATGTCACTTTCTAACAGGTCTAGGAGCTCCAAATTTATCATGGGACCTTAAGAGGAGAAGGTCATCCAATTTACAGGTATTTGAGGATACAAATCCATGGCTGGGCTCAGTTTTAAAATGTCTTATCTGAAATTCCTTGAGGAACAGAGTTCCATCAAAGCCAATCTAAAAGACTTATGTAGAAATAGTTATTCTTCCTGTACTTTATGCAAATAATCAGGCCAAGTATATGACTAAAGTCTATTTTGCAAACAATTAAATCCTATCATAATTTGCTTTTTTAACAAAAATGAGGACTGGAGAGTGAGAAATTATGTTTCAAAACACCATGCATTTGTCAATAAATTGTAAAGTCATTAGTGTTTAAGTTTTTGCCTATATTTTTAGGCCAACCCTGCTTGTTCCTGTGAGCCAACCAGCAATCTCCAGCTGCAGCTCAGAAAGAAGAAGGGGATGGGTAATATAAAAATCTGGATCAATATTCTAGTTCTGAGCAATTATCCTGCAAATCCTGCCAGGTGATGGGAATAAATAGGATGCCCATCAATCGGAGGTTTCCTTTTTTGGAAAGTAAGAGCTAACCAAAGCCAAGCACCATGCACCCAAATCCCAGCTTACATAACTATAGCCACCAATTATCTGTGTATGTCACAAGACATCTTTTTCTCTCCCTTGTTGAAGGAGGACTCAATTCTGCGGCTTCATCTTCCTTAGCATTTGGCTTATGATAAGGAGTCCATGCAGCCCTCCCTAGATATGTGTTTGTTCTAAATTCAATTCGAAGCTTCGGGTCAAAGGCCCAGGAAAGAAAACTGGATCTAAGGGATTCAGAGGCAGATAATAACAGAGGTTAAAAGGCAAAGTGCGGCTGGGCATGGTGGCTCATGCCTGTAATCCCAGCACTTTGGGAGGCCGAGGTAGGTGGATCACGAGGACAGGAGATCAGGACCATCCTGACAAACACAGTGAAACCCTATCTCTACTAAAAATACAAAAATTAGCCAGGCATGGTGGCACACACCTGTAATCCCAGCTACTTGGGAGGTTGAGGCAGGAGAGTCACTTGAACCGGGAGGCAGAGGTTGCAATGAGCCGAGATCGTGCCACTGCACTCCAGCCTGGGCGACACAGTAAGACTCCATCTCAAAAAAAAAAAAAAATACAAAAATCAGCTGGGCATAGTGGTGCTTGCCTGTAATCGCAGCTACTGAGGAGACTGAGGCAGGAGAATCACTTGAACCAGGGAGTTGGAGTTTGCAGTGAGCTGAGATCGCGCCACTGCACTCCAGCCTGGCAACAGAGCAAGACTCTGTCTCAAAAAAACCCCCAAAAAACAAAAAAGGCACAGTGCGTGCAGGTGAGCATGGCTAATTCCTGCTGATCAAGCCAAGCCTCCCATTTCATGGACGAAAGTCATGCTAGTATCTGCGGCATAAATGAGGTCTAGGGAACTCCAAGACTACTGACTGTAGTGGGGATAGAGACATAGGTAAGAATGGATAATTCCTATTCTCTCTCTCTCTTTTTTTTTTTGTTTTTCCCAAGACGGAGTCTTACTCTGTTGCCCAGACTGGAGTGCAGTGGTGTGATCTTGGTTCACTGCAACCTCCACCTCCCGGGTCCAAGTGATTCTCTTGCCTCAGCCTCCCGAGTAGCTGGGACTACAGGCCTGCGCCACTACACCCAGCTAATTTTTGTATTTTCGGTAAAGATGTGGTTTCACCATGTTGGCCAGGCTGGTCTCAAACCCCTGACCTTGTGATCTGCCCACCTCAGCCTCCCAATGTGCTGGAATTACAGGTGTGAGCCACTGCACCTGGCTGATAATTCCTATTCTCTAGGCACTCCCTGCTTCATGGGTGCAAGCCGCTGTGGCACCCATGGCAGCACCTGCCAAAGTCACCAGGACTCGGGGATGCAAGGACAGAAGAGGGAAAGAGGACGCTCTTCCTTCTCTCCCTCTTTCTAGCAGATACCCCTGCTAGAAAGAGATAGGAGTCAGGGATGCCTTCTCCCCTCTTTCTAGATGGGTAGCCATTCATCTTCACTGTGTACCCCTTTTGAATGCATCCTGAACCCCTGGGACTCCTTTAAAAAGCACCTTTTTTTCCCCTTTCTTCTCCACTGTCCTCTCTTCACTAATAGGTAATTGTGTCTCCGTACTATAGGACACTCCCCTCAGATGCATCCTTCTAACTGGAAGGAGTTAATTTCCCAAACCTTCAGCTGGTTGGCTTAGGATTAGGCTCAGGCAAGGGAACCCAAAAGCCTGACATGCTGGCAAAAGCATGAAGTTTTTTTTTTTTTTTTACCAGTCGGGCTTTTGGCTTCCCTCTCCCTGTGCAAACTGGTAAAAGGCCTTGGGATTTTAAGCTGTCCTTACCCTCCCTTGTTTCGTTTTAATACGTGTTTTCTAATAACCTGGTTTTTCTCTTCTTGCTTTCAGGCCATCAAACTCCAAATGGTCATGCAACCGGAGCCTCAGACGATGGCCCCTTCGGCCAGGAACCCTTAGATAGGCTTCTGAGGGAGCTCCGACTGCCATTTCCCAGAACACCGGCCCTTCTCAGCAGGAGGCAATTTAGATCAGTCTTCATTCTTACCCTTATCCTTTTTCTAACAGCAGTTAGATGTACTTCTTGAGAGCCGGGAATGAGACAGCCAAGTGTAAAGGTGTCCCCATAGAACCTCTGACAAACTCACACGCTGGGAGGAATGTGCACTGGGATGGAGCCTCAGGAAGTTCCTGCAGAGGAGCCCGGCCCCTCCCCTTCCAGGGTGGAATCTGGGATTCAATCTGCGAGGTGGGAAGTGTGTACTAGCAGGACTCTCACTCTGCTGAGGGTCCCTATTTCCCCCCCTTTTTTTTTTTGCCCAATAAATTCCATTTTTCTCACCCTCCGAAGTGTCTACGAGCCTAATGTTTCATGGCCGGGTGACAAGGACCCCATCTTTAGCTGAACCCAGGAGAAACTCCTACAACATTACTATCCAGCAATTTCTCTCTCTTTTTTTTTTTTTTTTTTGAGACAGGGTCTCACTCTGTCAACCCAGGCTGGACTGCAGTGGTACAGTCATAGCCCACTGCAGCCTCTACCTCCTGAGCTGAAGAGATCCTCCTGTCTCAGCCTCCTGCATAGCTGGGACTACAGGCACGGACCACCACACCTGACTAATTTTTTGTATTTTTTTTTGTAGAGACGGGCTTTCACCATGTTGCCCAGACTGTTCTAGAATCCTGGGCTCAAGTGATCCACCTGCCGTAGCCTCCCAAAGTGCTGAAATTACAGGTATAAGCCACCATGCTTGGCTTCCAACCAATATTTTAAAGTTCATGATGGGAATGGAGTTTGTCTCAGATAATAGATTTTTATGGAGCCACATGCCAAATTCCTTAGAATACTTTCCCTCACGAACACACCCCACAGAAACTCAGAATCATACCCTCAATTTTCATCCCCCCTCATGCCCATTTACAATTAATCCCTGTTCTCACTTCTAGCCCCAGGCAGCTACTACCCTACTTTCTGCCTTTATAAATTTGTCTTTCCTGCACATTTCATGTAAGTGAAATCAACCACATGAAGCCTCTTAGGTCTGGCTTCTTTCACTTAGCATAATGTTTTTGAGGCTCATCCACGACATAGCAAGTGTCATCATGATTCATTGCTGCACAGTCTTCTACTGTATGGATTCACCACATTTTGTCTATTCATTCACCAGTTGCTAAAAATTTAGGTTATTGCCAGCTTGGGGCTATTATGTATAGTGATACATAATATGATACATCATACTTACATGCATAAATGATGCATCATATTTACATACATAAATATGAATATTACAAATATTCATATTTAAGTTTTGTTATGCTTGTTTTCATTTCTCCTGAGCAGACACCTGGGAGTGGAATTTTGGGTTGTATGGCAGTTTTACATTTAACTTTTAGAGAAACTGACACACTGTTTTCCAAAGGGCTGTGCCATTTTACGTCCCCACCAGCACCGTGTGAGGGTTCCCATTTCTCCACATCCTTGCCGACACTTGTTATTGCCTGTCTTATTATTATTGCCATTCTAGTAGGTATAAAATGGTATATCACTGTGGTTTTAGTTTCCATTTTTCTAATGATTAATAATGTTGAGCATCTTTTCGTGTAACTATTCATAATTTGTGTATCGTCTTTAATGAAATATTTGTTCATTTCTTTTGCCCATTATTTGATTGGGTTGTCTGCCTTCTTATTACTGAGTTGTAAGTGTTCTTTGTATTTTATGGATAGGGATCCTTTATCAGATATGTTTTGCAAATATTTCCCTCCAGTCTGTTGCTTGTCTTTTAATTTTCTTAAGGGTGTCTTTTAAAGTGCAAGATTTTTGAATTGTGTTAATGTCCGATTATTAGCTTTTGCATTGATCAACTATGCTTTTGGTTCAAAAAAAGAAATCAGTGGTCTGGCAGAGGTGTTTCACGCCTGTAATCCCAGCACTTTAGGAGGTCAAGGTAGGTGAATGAATCACTTGAGTGCAGCAGTTCAAGACCCATCTTGAACCTGGCAACATGACAAAACCCATCTCTACAAAAAAATACAGAAAATTTGCCCAGCATGGTGGCATGTGCTTGTAGTCCCAGCTACTTGGGAGGCTAAGGTTGGGGGATCATTTGATCCCAGGAGGTCAAGACTGCAGTGAGCCATGATTGTGCCACTGCACTCCAGCCTGAGCAACAGAAGGAGACCCTGTCTCAAAAAATAAAAATAATAAATAATAATAAATTGAAACAAATGAAGGGCAAAAAGGGCATCAATTGGCCTTGTTTACAAGACTAGCCAGGGCGGTCATTGGTGGATTGCTCCACTTTTCATATTGATGTAATTACTTGTATATGTATAGAGAGTTGGTCCTCCTTCTTACTAGGATCTAACCAAAAAATTAAATTTGTAACTATGACCATGCCAGAAACAGAAACTAACGAGAAAATAACAAAGCCTTTTTAGTCATCATTAGGTCTGTTGCAAACCTTGTGATTCTCCTCTCCTTCCAAGTATGTGATAGGATTATGTTTTCCTGGCTTTCTTGAATTTAGGCATGCTCATGACTTGATTTGGCCACAGAAACAAGTGATGGGTGGAAATTTGAAGAGCCTTATGGAATTTGCCAAGTTCCCTCTTCCTGCTTCATGGAAGATGGAGCCTCCATCAGCATGGGTACTTGAGTGAGAAGCAGAACCCGCTGGCTGCTAATGTAGTCCAGGAATGAGAAATGAACAGAATCCCCCCTGACAACCCACATTCAACATTGTAGCTTGAGCAAGAAATGAACATGACTTGTGGCCAGACACAGTGACTCATGCCTGTAATCCCAGAATTTTGGGAGGATCACTCCAGCCCAGGAGTTTGAGACAAACCTAGGTAAAATAGTGAGACCCTGTCTCTACTATTATATATATAAAATACATGTCTTATATTTATTAGTTGAGTGTGGAGGCTCACACCTATATTCTCAGCTACTCAGAAGGCTGAGGTAGGAGGATTGTTTGAGTCCAGTAGTTTGAGACCAGCCTGGACAACACTGCAAGACTTCCTCTCTACAAAAAATTGAGAAATTAGCCAGGTGTGGTGGCACATGCTTGTAGTTCCAAGTATTTGGGAGGCCGAGGTGGGAGGATCACTTGAGCCCAGGAGGCAGATGTTGCAGTGAGCTGAGATCATGCCGCTGCATTCCAACCTGGGTGAGCGAGTGAGACCCTGTCTCAAAAAAAGAAAAACGACTGAGCTTGGCTCTAGATTGGAGCTATAGGGAAAAATAAAATTGAGAGCTATGAATGTTTCCTGCCTTAGAAGAATACTTAAGTATCAGGCTAGTTCATAGCAAGCATCAGAACTGGGAACTAACCCAGTCTAACTAGCTTCACTCAATGAGAATTGGGAAACAAAACAGCCACATTCCCATTCATACCTGAATAATTCTCAAGACACATGTGCGGTGTCTGGTTTATTCAAAGTGGCTGTCAGAGACAAGACCATAGAGCAGGAACCAAATAGTTGGGAGCTGTGGGGCTAAACAGGGCAGGGATGACCAAGTATCAGAAGGTAAAAGGAGTCAGCTGAGCCGCCAGAGCAACGTTAGGGCCAGGCTGAGCAGGAGAGGTCAGGCTGCCCAGGGCCCAGCCCCACTCATGGCTGCAGCATAGAACCTCACCACCTCCTCACTGAGGTTGCCCTGGGCCGGGTCAAACCATATCCAGATGCAGCGACCACTCCCTTGGTTGTAGTTGCTGACCGTGTAGGAGTGACTCCAGATTTCACTGCACAGAGCAGTGGGTGTGAGGAAATAGAAACGGAAAGGTAGTCAGGCAGCTGCCACCTGGCACTTGTTAGACCCTGGAGGGAAGAGGAAAGACCTTTAGCCACTGGGCCCAAAAGCGTCTCTGATTCTGCCGCCCTACAAACCCAAAATGTCACAAACCTGTTCCACCCCCACGCACCTTCACTTCCAAATCCCTCCTTTCCTGCCCCACCCCAGCCCTTACCTGAGTCCCCAGTTCCAGCCTTTGTGCCAGTTGCTCTTGCAGGTGTAGGAGGTGTGACAGTCTTCCCACCATTGCTCACAGTTCTCTTTGCACAGGGGCACATTCAGTACCTGCTCTTTGCGCCAGCTCTGATCCACCTGGGAGATTTTGGTAGAAAAGAAGGTCTCAGGCTCAAGAATCCCAGCAACCCAGCCCTGAATAGAACTGGAGCTGGGGTTGCAGCCTGCAGAGATGCCTGGAAAATTCAGCTCCTCTGCTAGCTCTTGGGTGCCAGGAAGCCATGAGTACCTGCTGGATCCAGGGCCCCAAGTTTGGGGGGCACTCATAAAGGCAGGTGTCCTGGATGAAGTGCCATTTGCAGGCAGGTACCACCTCTCCACAGTGGTCCCAGTTGAATCCACATAGATGGGAAATATTCTTATGGGCTTCCTCGGTGGTGCTAGTGAAGCCCAGGCATTCTTCCTCCAGATACTACACTCGATGTGGGAAGACACAGGACTAAGTCCACAGTCAGCACAGCCAGAATATTCCACACGCAGCCTCTCCCCTTTCAATCCTCAATCCCCAACCCAGTGGAAGTCATCCAGGAAGGTCCTTGCTGTTGGTAAACTCGTTGTGGGAGAGGTTTGTCAGAGACTCAGGGAGCCCAGAAGACAGCTCCTGTCTGGAGGTGCAGTCATTACAAAATTCATTAATTCAACTTTTATGGAGATCCTACATACTCTCACCCAGGCACTTTTCTAGAAACTGGGGTTACAAAAATGAGCACCTCAACGGATCACTGCTTTTGAAAACAATTAGGGGAGAAGGATGGGGACTTGCAGTGTTACAGCGTGACCAGATTAGGCCTCATTGATGTCAACGAAAAGAGTCAAGCTCTGTAAAATGTTTGAAGAGATTTATTCTGAGCCAAATACGAGTAACCATGGCCCATGACACAGCCCTCAGGAGGTCTTGAGAACATGTGCCCAAGGTGGTCTGGGGTGCAGCTTGGTTTCATACATTTTAGGGAGGCATGAGACATCAATCAAATGCATTTAAGAAATACATCGGCTGGGCGCAGTGGCTCACGCCCAGCACTTTGGGAGGCCAAGGCAGGCTGATATTGAGGTCAGGAGTTCGAGACCAGCCTGGCCAACATAGTGAAACCCTGTCTCTACTAAAAATACAAAAAATTAGCTGGGCGTGGTGGCAGGCGCCTGTAATCCTAGCTACTCGGGAGGCTGAGGTAGGAGAATCGCTTGAACCCAGGAGGCAGAGGTTGCTGCGAGCCGAGATCATACCACCACACTCCAGCACAGGCAGCAGAGGGAGACTCCATGTAAAAATAAATAAATAGGCTGGGCACGGTGGCTCAAGCCTGTAATCCC